TCTCCTTCTCCTTTTTCTCCCCCTCCTTCTCCCCCTTCTTTCCCTATACTTCCATGCACCCCCTTCTCCCAACGCGTTCTCTTACCCGCTCATGCCCGCACTTTCCTTCATTCGATAGTGTAAATCGTCGTGTCCCGCGTCTGCCTCCACATTCGCGAATGCTTGCGCTTACATCTCTTCTCGCCTGATTTTGTACGCTGGCTGTCTAAGCTTTTGCGCCCGCGTCTTCGTGCAAGTGTTTGTGCTTACATCCCTTCTCGCCCGATTTCGCACGCTGGGCTGTTAGTTTGAGCCTGTTCTTCCTTCTCCTCTGCATCGCGCCTTACCTCCTAGCGGCCAAGTCTTTCGAGTCATAGGCCGGATGTGTTATTCGGACGAATCTATCCCGGTTTCAGCGGTGCATTCGTAAAAGTGAATACGAGGTTCGGAATAATAAAAAGAAGAAAATCTAGTAAAACAACGAAACATAAACTAAAAGAAAAAAAGAAGAAAAAAAATATAAAAGAAAAACAAAACGAAAACTTACTTTTAACCACCCCGTCGTGACAATTGTCACAACGGGGTCTAACAGTACCTAATTCCAATCCTGAAGTCACGGGTTCGAGTTCTGCCAAACTTTGTGTGAGGCAAAAATGCAGTGGAGCTCCTTCTCAAAAGGAGCTAGCCCGAGGCCGGGCAAATTCGATCCATAGTTCAGTCCATTCGTAATTTGTGCCTATACCTACCGGGCTAGCTCCTAGTTCGGTTAAAATATGAGTGGTTCAGCTATAAGTAGAGTATAGGCCCGGTTCTTTTGGTGCAACAGGCCCAAAGCCTGCTCCTCAAGGTTATTTCAGGCCGGTACCGGCCGTCGCTTGGCTTAGTGGCGGAATATCCTCTCAGATCACCCTGTCCTTAGCGGTTGGCTAAACATCCTTTAATAATATCGAAAAAAAAATTCTCCTTCTCTCTTCCGACCACTCTGGTATGGTAACCGGCGTCGGCACTGTACTGAGTGCAATTTCATGAGCGAATACCCTTGTAAGGGTGTTCGCTCCGACACCGTCCTGTCTGCAGACCCTTGGATTCTCGAAGAGGGGTTGCCTTAGCACCTCATCTTGAGTGTTGGGCGGCTTCAGGGCACTTGTCGGTGCTGATCTCCAGGACTGAAGGACCCCTTGCCAGAATGCGGACTTAACCCTACGCCTTTGGAAAGATGGGATTGTGAGAACCAGCCACATGTCTTCGCCTCTGCTCAGGTCCCAATCCTTTGCGAAGCTGTATTCTTCCAAGGCTACCCAGTTGCGTCCCTCCCTGTATCGCTTTCACAGGTGTGCTGGACCCGCCGGGATGGCGGTCTGACAGGATGGAGACGAAGGGTGGACGAAGGAGGAGACAGAGATGGAGTTGGAAGGGACAACGCAGCTCCGACGCAGACTCAACACGCACGTACTCCAAGATCTGCAAAAGTGAAGAATGCCGAAAAACAGACCAGTGTTGGGGTATACCCCCAGCGGACTGACTGACTGAACTGGACTGGCCTGGTACCGACAGTGGTAGGGCAGGACTAGAACAGCACACGACCTGTGGGGTCAGGCCACGGCCTGGTCCCACAGGCCGAACTGGGCAAATAGCCAAATAGGCCCTGGCTGCCAGGGCAGATGAAGGCCCGCTACACGATCCTCAAACCTGTAATGGATCGCAAGAGCCATAAACACGCTATCCGCAAAAGCAACGAAACTCTGCAATAAAAAAAAGTTGAGAAATATAGGATGCGGAGCAAGCTCCATGCGGAGTCCATGCGATGCATCCTAAGCTACATAATGTCAAAAGAAAAGCAAATGTTTGGTATACAATACCTAGCTAACAGCAGAAAATGAAATGTAGTATGATACAATCCTAAAGTCCTGGAGGCATTGGCCTCAGTGCTGAAAGGAAAAGAGCAATATGTCAGAAGACAATGTCATGTCGCTGAACCACTAAGAGTGGGATGGTCTCAGAGGGGTGAATGCAGCCGAAGAATTGAAACTCCTAAGGGCAGTCACACATGAAGGTGGGATAGATCATCAGGCTCAAGGTGGGAGAGTGGTAGCGAAACAAAACCAATGACCCTAACAGATAGACCATCAAGGCGGGTAATGCTCGACAAAAGGGGTGACACCATGCAAGGTCGACCATGAAAAGGGGAGCCTGAAACAGGGTGGAGCTATGCCGAGCTGGAGGCATGCAATAGCCGGTGCTAGGGTGATGAGGACAATGGGTGAGGGAAACATGCACACAACTCACCGACTGGGGGAGGAGGGAGCTAGATCTAGGAACAAGGAAGCCAAGATAACGCTACGGTCCCAATGCCTAAGCGATACCAAGGGAGAGCCCAACTCAAAGAGACCCAGCTAAGTGAGAATCATCATGCGACAGATGCAAGGGAATGTACAAGGTAAGGTGGTGGCGTGAAGTAGTCACGTCCAAAGTAGCGGAAGTCGTCGAAGTGGTCGATGACGTCGATGAAGTAGCAGTCGAGTCGATGTCGAAGCAGAGCCGCAAAACGCTGACATCCTGAAGAAGAGCTGATGATGGAGTACCTGATGGTGTGAGTCAGTGGGGAAAGATAGAGGATAAGAGTGTCAGTCATTATAAGGCGAAGGGCGACGATGAGTGCGCTGTGGACGCTCGGAGGCGACTGTCTGCGGCTGAGGAACGGCCTCAGAGGGAGTGGGCTCGTCCTCAGCAATCTCCTCAGCCGAAGGAGAAGGAAGAGGGTCAGTCGGCTGAGTAGAAGCAGATGTCTCAGCACGACGAGCACGATCATATGCACGCACCAACATACTGGCGTGCTACAAGTGCTTGAGGGGTTCCCAAGTAGCCTCCTCATCAGGGTAACCCTTCCAACGCACAAGGTACTCGATGCGTGGAGGGGTATCGTCGGTAACTCGGCGTGATACGATGTCGGAAACAACGAACTCCTCGTGATCGTCCACCATGATAGGTGGAGGACGCTCATAAGGGCGTCCGGCGAAGCGCTCGGACGGTCTGCGATAAGGACGCAACAAGGAGACGTGGTAAACATCGTGTACGCGAGCCTGTCGAAGGTAATCAGGTAGCTTCACACGGAAGCTGACCGGACTAGCGGCAGTATCAGAACCGACAGCCTGAAGGATGCGGCATGGACCGAAGAAACGACGCCTGAACTTGCGAAGCGTATCTGCTTCGAGCTGTAAGTGGCGTGCGTCGACGAACACATCGTCACCGACTTTGAATGGATGATCCATTCGTGATCAGTTCGCTCGTGCGGCCATGCGAGTCTGGAAGTCGGCTAAACTCTCGTATGCGCGCTTCATAATCGCCGCCATGTGGGCGATCCAGTCGTCAAGCGTAGGGCAACGAGTGTCTCGGCGCAACCGCGATGGTCGTAGGAAATTTGCGGGTACGCGAGGGTGGTAGCCGATGTCGCAATAGAATGACCACATCCCCGTGGCTGGCGAAACAACGTGGTTGTACGCAATCTCCACGTGGGCTAAGTGTAAGTCCCACTGCTGGTCATCCCTAACAAACTTTCGGAGGATGTTACCGAGAGTTTTATTGGTGACCTCAGTCTGACCATCCATCTGAGGGTGGTAAGACGATGAGAAGCAGAGCTGGGATCCGTACACCTCATGTAGGCGTCGCCAGAATGTGCTGGTAAAGCGTGGGTCACGATCGAAGATGATGCTCTGGGGTAAGCCGTGATCTCTCACGACTCGGTCGAAGACGATGTCGGCGACCTCACGAGCGCTAATGCGATAGCGGCATGGGACAAAACGTGCACGCTTCGTGAAGCGATCGATGACGACCAAGATAGCATCATGACTGCGCTCAGTGGGTGGGCGGAGGGGACCAATGAAATCCATCGAGATGGACTGCCAACGACCCTCAGGTATGGGTAGGGGCTGAAGTAACCCATATGGAAGGTGGTTCGCACTGTTCACCTCCTGGCAGGTAGGACACTCCTGGATGTAGGCTTTGACAAAGTCCTTGGACTTCGGCCAGACGTATAGGCGGCAAACACGAGCCAACGTCTTCTGGAAACCCATTTGACCGACAGCTGCCTGGTCATGGAACTCTGCTACAGCCTGGACGCGGAGCTATCTAGTGGAGGGAACGCAGATACGTGGTTCTAGCTGACCAGATCTGCCATGCCAGTACACAAGGCCGTTCTCCCCGAGGGAGTAGGAAGGAACGGTCTTGCCACTCCGCAGTGTCACGTGGATGACGCGATAATCGGGGCAGTGGCGGTACTGAGTGCGATACTCGTCGATCACTGACTGATCAACAGTGGTGATGGAGATGGCCGCAAGATGGATGGGTTCCTGATTGTGATCAGGACGGCGGGACAAGGCGTCGGTGATGCGGTTCGTTTCACCCTTGATGGGCTGAGTGGTGAAACTGAACTCGGATAAATCACGCCACCAGCGTGCCTCTCGAGGGGAAAGCTTAGGCTTCGTGAGGAGAGCCTGGACAACTGAGTTGTCTGTGCGCACCGTGAAGGGCGCCCCGTGCAGATAATAACGCCAATGCCGGGTAGCATAAACTACTGCGAGAACCTCACGTTCATCGGCAGTGTAGTTTATCTCGGCAGGCAGTAGATGACAGGAGTAGAAAGCGATCGGGCAATCCCCAGCACGAGCCTCGACAGTCCCATCCTCCGTGATGATCGGGGAGTAAGTAACAAGAGGACTGTCAGTGGAGGGAAGTGGTGGGAGGGTAGGCGTCAGTCGAGAAGCAGTGTCAGCAGGAGGGGGGGGGAAAGGAGGGACATGGGGGTAAGGTGAATCTGGAGGAGAGGGAAACACCTGAGAAATGACAGCTCCTACTGCAAAGTCTGACGCATCGGTGGTGACGATAAAGGGACGATCAAAATCGGGAAAGCGAAGAACCCTTCGCACAGGTCACCGCCTTCTTGAGGGCGCGAAAGGCGTCCTCGCACAGGGGTGTCCAAAACCACGGCGGGTTCTTCCGGAGGAGGGTAGAGGTAAGGACGTAGGAATACCTAGCGTATCCCTGGATAAAATTACTATAGTAGCTGGTGAGGCCTAGGAAGCTGCGAAGCTGCTTGGCAGATGTGGGGACGGGTCACTCTGTAATAGCAGTGATCTTCGCGTCATCCATGTGGAGACCCTGGTTAGACACATGGTGTCCTAGGAAGTCCACTTTGCGCTGGGCAAAGCGGCACTTACTGAGCTTGGCATAGAAGCCATGCTTGCGTAAGCGCTGTAGGACATCGCGGAGGTGTCTGATATGGTCTTCAAAGGTAAGACTGTAGAGCAAGATGTCGTCCAGGTATACGAGAACATATTCCTCAAGGATGTCCCTGAAGATATCGTCCATCGCCATCTGGAAGGTGGCGGGTGCATTGGTGAGGCCGAATGGCATCACCGTGAACTCGTAGTGGCCGAAGCGCGACCGAAAGGCTGTCTTCGGCTGGTCCTCTGCGGCAACGCGGATCTGGTGGTAACCGCTACGAAGATCGATGTTCGTGAAGAAGTGGTTGCCTGCCAGACGGTCAAACAGCTCATCCGCACGGGGCATGGGATAGTTGTTCTTAACCGTGTAACGGTTAAGCCCGTGGTAGTCGATGCAGAGGCGCCCACTCTGTCCCGAGGCTGAGCTCATCTCTCTCTGGAGCCCGATCCCCCTGACCCTCTTTCCATCTTCGTGGCTCTCATCTCTACATCCACTCGTCAGCCTGCGGATACCTCCTCCACGTCTCAGGCCCCTGCGCCGTCGACTGTCGAGTCTACACATACGTCTCATGCTGACGCAGACGCTAAGGAACTCACACGGTTCACGGCAGACTCAGAGCCCCCCGTTCGCGACCTGATTCGAGAGTACCGCGAGTCTTTCCTCCGTATTTCTCATACAGCGGGATTCCCCCGATGCGCGGTGTTGAACATTCCATCCAGCTCGTGCCTGACGTTCGTGTTCACCATCAGGAACCAGACCGACTGAACGCGATGTTGGGGTGGGACCCTGAGGGACAAGGGTCCTGGGGAGGTAGGTCGGGCGGGGTGTCGCCCGTGGTTCCAATGAACGGGACGCGATGGGTCTGACCACACTTCGTTTTGAGAACGAGTGTCTCGGTCGCCCATTCGGCCTCTGTGCCACGGAACCGGCGAGACCAGGGAGTGCCAAGGATAAAGTCGTACCCAGTATCCAACACGTCGAAGTATGCGGAGGAATGGTAGCGCCTAGGCGTTTGGGGACTATCCGATGGCTGGAGGGTGAGGGAGAAGTGGAGGTCGGGGACCGTCTGATCGAAGAAGCGCTTCGTCTTGTTATCTCCGAGGGTAACGAAGATAGGAGAGCGAGACCCAGAGGTAGCTAGGCAAGCTTCCTCAACCACGTGAGGGTGAACGAAATCTCCCTGCGAGCCGGAGTCCCATAAAGCGCGGTACACCCTCGTAGATGTCCCTAGGCGAATAGGGATGATGGGTAGGGTGCGATCAGGGTCAGAGAGCAAGGCGAGAAGACGACGCAGGACGTTGATGTGTCTCGTGAGGCGCTCCTAACGAGCCTGCAGAATACTCAAGTCCATGAGAGATGACACAACGTCATCGCGAGTCGCCAGTTGAGCGCTACAACGGGCTGTGCGAATGGCACGACGTGTCGGAAGTCTCGGGGGAGAAGCGCTAGATGCGGCGGTCTGTTGGGAGGCAGACGGTACCTCGACAGACGATGGGGCGGAGAGAACTGCGTCTGTCATGTCCTAAGGGTCCTCTGGTGGGGTAGCCAAAGGGGCAAACCGCGACTCGGTGGTCGGGAAGCCGGTTACATGCGAGGCCTCAGGGGCACCGTGCATCGTGGCTAGGTGGATGGGGTTGGCCGGGCGGGGCCGGGGGGGGACTGAGATCGACGCTGACGAGAGATGTCAGTGTAGTGCCGATCGAGGGTGGTATGGTATGGACACCGTGAGGAGGTGTGTCCATCTAGGCGGCAAAGAAGGCAGCCGCGCGAGGGCAGCACGTTCCTCGGGGGATAGAGCTCCGCGAGGAGGGACATAACCCTGCGGGAGGTCTATCTGAGGAACCGTGGGTGTGCGGGCGCCAGCCTGTGCAACCCGGCTACGAGCACGACCCATGGCAGACATGGCCATCAGCAAGCGCTCGGCCACCAGAACAGTGTCGTCATCCAGGTGATACTGGATGACGTCTCGTAGCTCGATGTCCTCGGGGGCGTCCCCAAGGGTAGGGTCAAACTCGGCCGAGGCGTCCTCGCCGTTCTCCAGAGAACTGTAGCGCCGAGAGAATGGCGCTCCAGGGTGGGCTGGGCGACGAAACCGGCCAGCGAAGGAGGATCGACCGCGAGTAACACCACGTGACTGGGTGGCGGCAGAGGTGGATCGCGAAGAAGATGGGGTGTCGGAGAAGCGATTCCGCATCTTCTGGTACTGTCGAGCAGCCTCGTAGGCTTGCTCGGTGGAGGCGAAGCTCTGTCGCCAGAGCTCGATACGGTAGTCAGTCGGGAGACTGACTACGAACCTGTTGGTCAAAAGGGCCTCAGGTAGGAGTGCCTCATCGCAAATGAGGCGGGCGTCCTGGAACACTCTGATGTGACGCTCAAAATCGGAGGGTGCGGAGGACCTGCGCCACTGCGTCTGGGTGACCCGGTCTAGGGCGTCGGTCGCATCGTGGAGGGTGCCGTAGCGGTCGTGGAGGAACGTGGTGAAATCCGCGGGAGTGGGCGTCTCACCCGCACGAGTACGATGGGTATAATAGTTCTCCCAAGCGGAGAATGCACTGCCTCGCAATTTAGTTGCGAGGGCAGAACACCACAAGTCCTGACTAGTGTTAGTCAGTGTCAACGCGCGTGTGACAACCTGTAACCAGTGCGACACACGCATCGTACCATCGTAGTCGGGTATGTCCGACAGACGCACAAGGGTGCGACTGCTGTGGTGGCGGCGAGGGGAGAGGGGCTGATGGGTCTCCACTACGGCGGAAAATGTCGGAGCTGGTGCAGAGGTAGAAGTGGGGGCTGGCGGTGAGCTGGGGCTGCTGGTGGAAGGTCCAGCGGGCGTGGAGGTAACGGCCGCAGCCGACTGTGAAGGAGTAGCAAGGTACGAGGGTAGAGGGGGGGGAGCCGGTCGAGGGAAGCAAGCCGGCAAGACAGTGGTTGGAGGGACGGTGTAAGAAGAAGAGGGGTGCGCAGCCTGTGGAGGGTGAGGCTGTCTAAGGGAGAGAATCTCCGCCTGGAGCTGCGCCACAGTGGCTTGTAGGGTAGCCACTTGCTGGGTGCGCGGGGTCGGGGGTGGAGGAGGCGGAAGGAGTGCCCTAGCAGGGAGAACTCCGGGCCGAAGTACCGTAACTGGTGCAGGAAGCTGCGACGCAGCACCAGGGTGGGTAGATGAGACTGTCTGGCCCGATGTCGGTATCTGGGGAACAGCACATCTGGCGGTGGTCAAAGCGGCAAGGGCGGCGGAGGCGGCGGCGACCGATGGGTGTACCGCCACAGACGGTGTGGTCTGGGCGGCAGCAACACTCACCACTGGGGCGGGGGAGTGCTGGGCCTAGCCCGCAGATGAGGACGAACCGCCACGTCTCCGTCTCTGGCGTCGTGGAGAGCCAGACTCCGAGCTGGTAGGCGATGGGGTCTGAGAGCGGTGGGGGGACCGATGAGGGGAACCCTTGAGGCGGTGAACTTCAAGGGCGAGCGCATTAACTTGCGTCTCCAGGGGTGCAAGCGCATCGAGTCGCGCTTGGAGAGGTGCAAGGAGGGACGCATGAACAGCGAGAAGGTCCGTGGGGTCCACACCATGCTGACCCTTGACCGTGGGGTGGGTGGACGCCTGAGAGGTGGATGACGCCGCAACGATCTCCTCCACTGTAGCCATGTCCGTGGATGGTGGAGGAAGAGAGGTAGACATGGTGGGAGGTGGGGGGAGATATGGGTTGTGGTATGGGGACAGAGGACCACCGGTGAGAGGGAGAGGACCGCGGGAGCCGAATGGGTAGTCGTGGGTCGGCTCGCCCCGTGACCAACGGGTCGCGCGTGAGATGGTGGCACGGATCCGGTCTAGGGGAGAGGAGCCGTTCAGGTCCAGGGTGCCCGACAGGAGGAGGTGGGAGAGTAGGGGGGTTAAGGAAACCCTAGACCCTAGAAAAACCCTAAGGAAACCATAACCGGAGTTTAGGTGGTTAGGGGAAGGTGGCGGCGACCTAATCAAGAAAAGAAAATAATAAATATGGAGGGGAGGGAGAATAGAGTAAACAATGGATTTTCGAGATAAAAATAAAATAAATAAATAAATAAAAATAAATAAATAAATAAAATGTAAAGATTGAGGAGAGAAAAAATATTTATTTTTTTGGAATTTTCGGCAGCATTTTTCCACCCTGCATGGGGTCAAAAATGTGCCAAGAGGAAGGAAAGTGCAAGAGGGACACACTAACTTTCAAAATGCCGCAAATTAAAATTTTCAGAAAAATAAATGAGTAAATAAAATAAATAAATAAATAAATAAGGAGGTGGAGGAGAGTGAAAAGAAGCTAAGTTTTTGGAATTTGTCAAAAATTTCGGCAGCATTTCGTTACCCCCATGGGGTCGAAGTGTGCCGTCAAGGAAAAGACTACGTAAAATAAGAAGATTTTGTCAACACTTCGCTACCCCCAAGGGGTCAAGATGTGCTGAAAAAAGACTAAGTATGAAGAAAACGGAAAATGTCGGCAGCACTTCGTTACCCCCACGGGGTCAAAATGTGTGCCGAAAGCAAGAATGGCTAAGTCCTAATCAGATTTTAGAGTGCCGCAGAAAATTTTGAATTTTCAGAATAAATAAAATTAAAAAATAAATAAATAAGAAAATAAGAAAAGAGGTAGGGAATAAGATGATTCCGATTTTTTGGAGGAAAAGAAAATTTTACATCAAAAAGAAAGAGAAAAGAAGGAAAAACAGAAAAATTCGGAGTTGGGTGTGGGGGGGGATGAAAAAGTGATGAAGAAAGAGAGAAAGAAGTGAGAAGAGAAGAAAAAGGTAAGGTGGGGGATGGGGGAGATGATGGGATTGTAGTTGGGGGAGGGAAGGAGGAGAAGAGGGTGGTAAGATGGGAGAGAAGGATATGAAAAAGGTGGAGAGAAGTCTGAGATTAGTGAGAAATGGTGAGTGGGGAGGAGAGGAGAGAAAAAGGTTGTGGAGGTAGGAGTAGAGAGTAATGGTAGGAGAGAGAAAAGGTGATTAGATGATGGGGGGAAAAAGAGAAAAGAGGTTGGGGGAGAGTGGGTTAGTGGCAGGATGGTGATACCAGGCTCTTGGGTGGCCAAGAGCAAAGTTCTACCAAGATCCACAGGATCTTCGCCTTCAAGATGCTGCTGGTGTGATGCCACAACAGTAATGATGATGATGGAGGGTTGGCTGAGATCTTGATCAGCCACCCTACTGCCACAGTCACACAACCCCCTAGCCAGGGGGAAATCTTGAACTGTTGCCAAACTGCTGCTGCAACAGTATAGAGATAGTGAAAAAGAAAAAAATAATAATATATATGTCTGTGGCGCAGCCCCCTAGCCAGGGGGGTCTTCAACAGGTATCCACGTGGCAGTGCAGATTGCCACGTTTGCAGGCACCAGCAGCCATAGCGTGCGCGGGGGGGAGAGGGGGGGGGGGGGCAAATAGCTTCGCAACACGCTGTTCTCTGCTCGCCGACGGGGGGGAAAGGGGGGTAAATAGCTGGTGTGGAACTGTTCAACACGAACGTTCCACATTATACAACCATGCATACAGTTTGGCCAGTGTGTTATAGCACTGGCTACGCTCGCGCATGAGTGCTGCCTGCCCAGGTTCAAACCCTGGCAGCA